ACCAAGACCCAACCAACCACCAAGCCCCACCCACTAACCAGCCCTACCTCTACGGCCAACCATCACCCCACCTCCCTGCCTGATAAAATTACATTAGGAGAACTGACCAACATCAACAAACACCAGCAAACAATACAAACACCAACATCAACAAACACCAAACACCAACATCAACAAACATAAAAAAACAACACCACACACAACACAAACACCACCACACAAACACCACCACACAAACACCACCACACAAACACCACCACACAAACACCACCACACAAACACCACCACACAAACACCACTACACAAACACCACCACACAACACAAACACCAACATCAACAAACACCAGTACACAACACAAACACCAACAAACAACACCACCACACAAACACCACCACACAAACACAACACAAACATCAACAACCACCAGCACACAACACAAACACCACCACACAAACACAACACAAACACCAACATCAACAACCACCAGCACACAACACAAACACCAACAAACAACACCACCACACAAACACCACCACACAAACACAACACAAACACCAACATCAACAACCACCAGCACACAACACAAACACCACCACACAAACACAACACAAACACCAACATCAACAACCACCAGCACACAACACAAACACCACCACACAAACACAACACAAACACCACCACACAAACACCAACAAACACCACCACACAAACCAGCCGCTCACATCTAGTCTGTGTTGGCGGGAACTCAGAGAACCGGTCCGTATGACGTCATCGCCCTAAGACGACCAACAAATACAATCATCTGGTCATAAATTCGTTACTCGAACGCTTGGGCTTTCATGCTGGATATTTAATAAAGCTGAGTACTTTAATCCACTAAGGCTGGTACTTTTTACTGTATCTAAAGCACGAATTACAAATCAACACAGAGCATGTCCACATACATACAGCCAGACAGTAGAAGATAAGGTCAGGGATGCTGGGCTTACGAGGTCGCAATGTAAAGAGAGCCGCTGAGTCCGGTGGAGAGGTGTGGTTACAGCCCTTTGCTCCCCAGGAGAGGTGTGGTTGCAGCCCTTTGCTCCCTAGGAGAGGTGTGGTTACAGCCCTTTGCTCCTCAGGAGAGGTGTGGTTACAGCCCTTTGCTCCTCAGGAGAAGTGTGGTTACAGCCCTTTGCTCCTCAGGAGAAGTGTGGTTACAGCCCTTTGCTCCTCAGGAGAGGTGTGGTTGCAGCCCTTTGCTCCCTAGGAGAGGTGTGGTTGCAGCCCTTTGCTCCACAGGAGAGGTGTGGTTGCAGCCCTTTGCTCCTCAGGAGAGGTGTGGTTACAGCCCTTTGCTCCTCAGGAGAAGTGTGGTTACAGCCCTTTGCTCCCCAGGAGAGGTGTGGTTGCAGCCCTTTGCTCCCTAGGAGAGGTGTGGTTGCAGCCCTTTGCTCCACAGGAGAGGTGTGGTTGCAGCCCTTTGCTCCCCAGGGGCCACAAAGGAATAAGTGAAATAAGGTTAATTTGTGGTTGATAGGAAGATGTTCAAATTTTATGTGGCTGACAAAAATGAACAAGAAGTCTTAAAAACAGGGACATGTTGTCGTAGGCCTCATAACCTGGACATTTTGTTTGCTCAATGAGTGAAGACATTTTTTTCCTTGTCCTGTAGGACACTAGGTGGAAAGCAACCTGTTGCCTGCGTTCATGAAATAATAGAAGAAAAACAAAAGAATAAACGAATCATAACCTAACAATTTCCTAAGAGATGCTGAAATTTTTTTTTATCAGACACAACACAAAACAACCACCAACTCTCTCACACGGGATACAGTGAACAACAACCCACCGTGTCAGTTTTGATTGTGTCCACTGTCTATAAATTCTGACCATTTGATAGACCCTGAACCCTCACAAAAAAACACATCCCACTCAACACAACGCCCCCCCCCCCCCTCCCCACCAAATTATAGCTAGACTTTCCACGAAGATAGCCAATGTCTACCACCCCCCCCCCCCTCTTTGAAAATAGGTTTAACCCTGATAATCTCCCCCCCCCCCCCCCACTCCCTTCAACAAAGCAGACGTTGATTTCCCTGGAGTCACGAAAGCTGAACCAAGTGTCACGTCACACTGGATCACGCCAAACGTGATCCTTAATCCCAGCCACCGCTCCCTGCTTAACTAACCAACCACGTGACTGTTCTCTCACCACCAGCAGACGATTAGGTTAAAAAAAAATAAAAAACACCAGGACATCAAAAGGAGCGATCGTCTGCTAATTAGCGCCGTGATCAACATACTGGCGTCTGAAGTTAAATATTTATGAAATTTTTTATGTCTTGTAATTTCCTCTCGTTTTACAGAGGGTGTGTGTGGGGGGGGGGGGGGGGGGGAGAGAGAAAAAGACCATGGGTGGTAGTGTGTGTGTGTGGTAAAAGGGGAGGGGGGGTTAATTAGATGTGTGATGCCTAGCGACGGTAAATGATCGTTCGTTAAGTGAAACAAGGGTGGGATAAGGGTGTGTGTGTGAGTGGGGGGGGGGGGAGGGTCAGGATTTTATGACGATGTGGTACATGGAGGTGGGAGGGTGTGGAGTGGGGTGTGTGTGTGGGGGGGGGGTTCAGAATTTTGTGACGATGTGGTACATGGTGATGGGAGGGGTGGGGATTGGGGGTTTCAGATTGGTTTGCGATGTGCTTCATAACGGAGAAAAAAAGGGGGGGGGGGGTCAGAATTTTGTAACTATACGGGGGATAATCTGGTCAGCACTGTGACGCTTGACTTTCCCAAACGTGAGTCAGGTACTTACCAGAGCTGAGTGGACTCAGGGGTATCCTACAGACTCGAGCCCAGGGTCCGAACTAGCGACTTTTAATTTAGCAATCGTAAGCTGAAAGTTATTCGATCTGCTCCAATTTACATAATGTTCATTAAGAGTCGCATACAAAAGGAACATATTCTAAACACTAACACGTAATCAAACGGGGGTGGGGGGGGGGGGGGTCGGACAGACACATATTGAACAGCCGAAATGTCATTAGTTGCGATGTAATCTAGCTTCTATTCTAAACTAAACAATTAAAAAGCGATTTCCGCCATTGCGTGTAACATCTGCGTTCATTGTTCACCAGATTAAACACGTAGTTTTAGCTAACAATTGGAATTGGGAGGCTACACGCCCTGTTGGCAGGCGCTCATATCTCTCCAGGAGAGGGGGGTGTGGGGGTTCTTTTAGATATCTCTCCAGGAGAGGGGTGGGGGGGGCACACCTCCTGGCCACCTGAAAAAGTAGGAATTTTTTTTTTACATTTATATAGGAAGTTTATACTTTAGCCAATACCCCACCTTCCTCCCAAAAATGTCTGAAAGAAACCCTGTTCATTGGGGATAGAATAGGTACTTGATAGAATAGGTACTTGACAGATTGACAGGTAATGGGATATTGGCAGGGCTTTATGGGTAACTCAGGTTTGGTGTGTTGGGACTGTTTATATTTTTGACTAGGGGACAGCGTTGTCTGAAAGACTTAAGTTCGAAACAGTACTAAATTAAACAATTTTAGAATATTAATATCATACTCTAAATGCACTAAAATATGTAAGTAAAATAAACCTTTTGTTTAGTTGACAAGTGCTTCTACTCATTTGTCCCCTCCAACACAATTAAGTATAACATGGCAACATGTTATGCAACATATGGCAACATGTTATGCACCATATGGCAACATGTTATGCACCATACGCAACATGTTATGCACCCAGATGCGAAGCGACCCTTCCCGGCGCCCGGGGACAATCTTTTCGATTTGCACCCCCCCCCCCCCCTCAAACTTTCGATTTGCACCCCCCCCCCTCAAACTTTCGATTTGCACCCCCCTCAACCTTTCAATTTATTTTTCCAACCCATTTTGGCGCCCCCTAAGGTCGGCGCCCGGGGACATATGTCCCCCCCGCTACTGTATGCACCATATGGCAACATGCTTTGTACCATAAGCAACATGTTATGCACCATACGCAACATGCTTTGTACCATACGCAACATGTTATGCACCATATGGCAACATGCTTTGTACCATACGCAACATGTTATGCACCATACGCAACATGTTATGCACCATATGGCAACATGTTATGCACCATACGCAACATGTTATGCACCATATGATGCACCATATGGCAACATGTTATGCACCATACACAACATGTTATGCACCATACGCAACATGTTATGCACCATATGGCAACATTGTCGATTTGCACCCCCCCCCCCTCAAACTTTCGATTTGCACCCCCCTCAAACTTTCAATTTGCACCCCCCTCAACCTTTCAATTTATTTTTTTTAACCCATTTTGGCGCCCCCTAAGGTCGGCGTCCGGGGACATATGTCCCCCCCCCCCCCGCTACTGTATGCACCATATGGCAACATGCTTTGTACCATACGCAACATGTTATGCACCATATGGCAACATGTTATGTACCATACGCAACATGTTATGTACCATACGCATGTTATGTACCATACGCAACATGTTATGTACCATACACATGTTATGTACCATACGCAACATGTTATGCACCATATGGCAACATGTTATGTACCATACGCAGCATGTTATGCACCATATAGCTGTTGACTCTGTCTTGACCCAGCTTTTTATTGTCAACCCAAAAATAAACTACAAGGCAGCAGTTTGATTTTGGAGTTGTCTCTCCTAGGTGGGTTGCTGTCCCCAGCTATCAAGCCCCTTTTTTTTGGGGGTTTGAACTTGGGACTTTTCAGTATACCATCCATAAGCTTTACTGGCCCGACCATGCGGACCCCTTCTATGTGTCTTGAAAACTAAAATTATACAATCTTAAAATTTTTATGAAATAGATACATAAGTTTGAGACTCCAACTCACCCCCCCCCCCTCACACATCCAGCCAACACCAAAGTAGCTTGCATGTCTGAGTAAGAAAAAAGACAACACTACATACATTAAAAATTAATGCAACAAACAGCTTAGTTGTGTGGTAAAATTATTTCATATGTAATGTCAGGTTGTTTATGATTGTAACTCCTCCAGTAAACTTGATTTTGTGACTTTTCTTTTTGGCCCATCTGAAACAAAATTGATTTTCTTTATCCAGTCATTTTGATTATCTTTTTCAGTTAGGACTATTTGCTTCATACTTTGATAGGGGCAATAACCATCATAACAGTAAAAAAATCACAACACTGACCATACACCTACCATCATTAAACCTACCACCCACTTACCATCATGAAACTGACCATCCAACTACCATCCACAAAACCATCCAACTACCATTACAAAACTGACCATCCACCTACCAGCACTTAACCTACCATCCACTTACCATCACCAAACCTACCATCCACTTACCATCACCAAACCTACCATCCACTTACCATCACTAAACCTACCATCACTAAACCTGACCAACCACCTACCAGCACTAAAACCTACCATCCACTTGACATCACTAAACCTACCATCAACCTACCATCACTAAACCTTACCTCCACTTACCACCACTAAACCTACCATCACTAAACTGACCAACCACCTACCAGCACTAAAACCTACCATCCACTTGACATCACTAAACCTACCATCCACCTACCATCACCAAACTTACCATCACTAAACCTACCATCCACCTACCATCACTAAAATGCTGGGCAGTTTTCCTCCTGAGGTCGTCCAGGCTCTCCTCCACCTCTGCCCACTCCAGAACCAGGCGACGCCCGTAAAGATGAGTAGAATGACAGAGGGCGCTGAAAGCTCTCTGTAATGTAATAGTAGAATACAGAGGTGTAATATAGGTGTAATGTAATTGTAGAATACAGAGGTGTAATATAGGTGTAATGCAATTGTAGAATACAGAGGTGTAATATAGGTGTAATGCAATTGTAGAATACAGAGGTGTAATATAGGTGTAATGCAATTGTAGAATACAGAGGTGTAATATAGGTGTCTTGCAATTGTTGAATACAGAGGTGTAATATAGGTGTAATGCAATTGTAGAATACAGAGGTGTAATGCAATTGTAGAATACAGAGGTGTAATATAGGTGTAATGCAATTGTAGAATACAGAGGTGTAATATAGGTGTAATGCAATTGAAGAATACAGAGGTGTATTATAGGTGTAATGCAATTGTAGAATACAGAGGTGTAATATAGGTGTAATGCAATTGTAGAATACAGAGGTGTAATATAGGTGTAATGCAATTGTAGAATACAGAGGTGTAATAATATAGGTGTAATGCAATGTAGAATACAGAGGTGTAATATAAGTGTAATGCAATTGTAGAATACAGAGGTGTAATATAGGTGTAATGCAATTGTAGAATACAGAGGTGTAGTATAGTGGTAATGCAATTGTAGAATACAGAGGTGTAATATAGTTGTAATGCAATTGTAGAATACAGAGGTGTAATATATGTATGTAGGGCTGTTGTATAATACAACTGTGTGATATAGGTGTTTAATAATAAATATGTAGAGTGCGTATAATAGAGATGTGCTATATGGGTGTGTTGTGCTGGCGTGTAAAAAAACAATTAAAGGCAGACAATGATGCTGTTGTCTGAGAGAACTGCCAATCAAGCAATCAGCCCGCCTACCTTGGCATCTTCCTTAGTGACAAAGTCAACAAAAGCAAAGCCCCTGTGTGGGCCTGTCCCTCCCAGTTTCTTGGGCAGACGTACAAACTTCAGTTCACCAAACACCCTGCAAAACATGGGTACAAACATGGTTTAGAAAAACATTGGGTACATACATCTTTACAAACTTGGGCTACAAACATGAATACAAACATCTTTATAAAAATGGTTAGAAATACACATTGGGTACAAACATCTTTACAAACATGTATCAACTTATCCAAACATATTTTATGCATGTATAAACATATGTACAAAATGTACAAATTAAAAAAAAAAATCACAAGTACAAATGTTACAAAGATGGTTAATTATGAACACAAACATTTGTACAAAAATGTACCAACACAATCACTACATTGGTACATTGAGGAGTACCATTACAGCTAGGTTGAGGAAATAACATATATAAATATCATATCAAATTTGTAGTTCTGTATCAACTTTTCAGTGATTTCTGGTAACAGGAAGTGAAACTTATTCTACTTTTAGTTTTTCAAAAGCCTATAACTTGAGTAGCCTACTGTTTATGACTGGTAAACACAACTTCACATTCATATAAATAAAAGATATAATTCTCTTTTTTCTATCAAAGTTTTGAGTCATTACTGGTGACTGATAGTAGTACTTTATGCTATTTCCGATTTCTAAAAAGAAAAAGAAAAAAAAACGCATATAAAATTTATTTTTAACTTGATTCCTCTGTGTATCGTCTGTCATACTCTTCTACCGGACCGGACTTTTTACATAGGTCAAGACTTGAAGATATATATTGTAACATAAAACAATACTTAATTAGATTATTTTTTTCACTCTTGGAAAATTAATATGTTTTTCTTTTCAAAGTACTAATGTTCCACACTATTATACACACATCATTTGCAGTTCATTTAGTGCGTAATTCTTTTTTCTACTAGATTCTACTTAAAAAATGTAAACATTTATAAATTGATTAAACATGATATCTATATACCTAGTTGCCATCCCCCTAGTGTTTATTTAACTTCCCAGTAGCGTAATGGAGGCAATATTCTCCATACTGATGTGTTATGTTAAAGGAAATGGATTGCAGCAAGAATTGTTTAGCATCTGTGTTGGCTACTTCCCATGTATAGTATACAAAATAACTAGGGGAGTTAACCTATGTTTTTTTCCCAACAAAACTGTTTAAAAATACTGACAAACTTACTAAAGAAGAAAAAAAATGGAAATTGTTGTTTATTGACCATGAGTGTTATGCTTATTACATGATGGTATTAACCTTTGTACTTCATAAAACATACAATTATTATTTGACTCTAGTCGAATTAGAAAACTATCAGCTGTGTAAAACTTCTATTTGTTGACATCAGAAAGTTCAAGTTTCATGAATTTGCTGGTTGGAACCGACTTGTTGAACACAAAAGTTTATGTAAAATCTCTCTAGATTTTAAAAATGCAGCTAGATTTTAATTTGATTGGGTGATGTAATTAACTTGTAGTTTTTAAATGCAGCTAGACCAAAAAAAAAGTTAATTTGATATCATTATTATTACCATTGCAAAGCAAAGAGCCACCTAGCACACCCCCCTCTCACCTTATATCAGCTCCATTTATGTTTCACTTTACCCAGACAATAAACCAATTCACTTTAATTCTACCTTTTTCAACAATGATTACTTTATCATTGATTTAGTATCAGCATGTCCAGTGTGGGCTACATACTCAGATCACATATATTTGGGGGTTTTCAAATGGAGGCACAGGGACAATGAGATTGTAAACTCTTGCAGTAGGTGAGGCCACAAGCCAAAGTTACCACAGAGTGACTTCTGTGAGAGATGCTTTGAATTTGAAGCATGTTTACAGCCAGAGAACTTTGATTGCTATGCCACTTACAGCTAGAGAACTTTGATTGCTATGCCACTTACAGCCAGAGAACTTTGTTTGCTATGCCACTTACAGTTAGAGAACTTTGACTGCTATGCCACTTACAGCCAGAGAACTTTGATTGCTATGCCACTTACACCTAGAGAACTTTGATTGCTATGCCACTTACAGTAAGAGAACTTTGATTGCTATGCCACTTACAGTTAGAGAACTTTGATTGCTAGGCCACTTACAGCTAGAGAACTTTGATTGCTATGCCACTTACAGCTAGAGAACTTTGATTGCTATGCCACTTACACCTAGAGAACTTTGATTGCTATGCCACTTACAGCTAGAGAACTTTGATTGCTATGCCACTTACAGCCAGAGAACTTTGTTTGCTATGCCACTTACAGTTAGAGAACTTTGACTGTTATGCCACTTACAGCCAGAGAACTTTGATTGCTATGCCACTTACACCTAGAGAACTTTGATTGCTATGCCACTTACAGCCAGAGAACTTTGATTGCTATGCCACTTACAGCTAGAGAACTTTGATTGCTATGCCACTCACTTGAATAACTCTTCAATTTCTTTTTTCTTGGCTTCAAATGGAATATTCCTGACCAAAATTTTGGTGGATTTCTGTTTGGTTTCTGCCTGTTTCTGACGACCTGTGACCTGACTGGGGAAAGGTTAAATATAGTTCAAAGGTTAAATGTCATTCACTTGACAAAATAAACCAATGCAATATCACTTGATAATTGACTTATGTACAATATAAAAAAAAACACGCACACAATAAATAAACAAACTATATGAATAAATACATGGGTAGTGTAAATAAATATTTAAAATTTATAGCAATACAGTAAATTAACATACAAACACTATAAAAACTAGTATAAAAAATAAGTAAACACCCAACCACTACTAAAACAACACACAGACACATAAACATACAAACAACATATAAAATAGGGTCCACTCACTGTGACGTCCTGTTTGAGATCTTTAGTTCCAGATTGTGACCATCCAACATCGAGTTCTGTAGCTGTTTCAAGGCTTCTTTCGCGTCTGTTTTCTTCATGAACTGAACAAAACCATAGCCCATGGACAGGAGTTCACCTGAACAAATTCAATGAAAAAATCATTTTTAGTCAGAGTCAGATACCGTAGATGTGTTGATAAATAAAAACACGCATAACAAATTGGACAGTAAAGTGGAGACCTAAACAGTAAATTGGACCATAATGATTTGGTCTAAATAATTAGTCTATTGTATAAAGGTTTGAACTTTGATGAAAACAGTAACAATCAAATTGGACAAAACATTTTTTTACAATGATGATAACAGTATATTGGACAATATAGATATTATCTAAAATGATAACAGCATATTGGACAATATAGATATTATCTAAAATGATAACAGCATATTGGACAATATAGATATTATCTAAAATGATAACAGCATATTGGACAATATAGATATGGTCTAAAATGATAACAGTATATTGGACAATATAGATATGGTCTAAAATGATAACAGTATATTGGACAATACAGATATGGTCTAAAATGATAACAGAATATTGGACAATATAGATATGGTCTAAAATGATAACAGTATATTGGACAATATAGATATGGTCTAAAATGATAACAGTATATTGGACAATATAGATATTATCTAAAATGATAACAGTATATTGGACAATATAGATATGGTCTAAAATGATAACAGTATATTGGACAATATAGATATGGTCTAATATGATAACAGCATATTGGACAATATAGATATGGTCTAAAATGATAACAGTATATTGGACAATATAGATATGGTCTAAAATGTTAACAGTAAATTGGCCAATTTGGATGTGGCCTAAAAAGATGATAATTTAATTGGACAAAAAAAAGATGATAACAGTAAAATGGACAATAGAGATGAGGTGTAAAAGTTGATAGCATGAAGTAAATAGAACAAACAAACCTGGCTTTTTGGCATCTTTTTTCTTAGACACTGTGGCTGAATAAATGTTGCCTATTGCTTTGAAATGCTGAGAAAAAATTGTAAAACAAACTTCAATTATTGTTCCTATGTTAATTGAACGGATAAAAAACTTTAGTCCACAAACCTGAGACAAAATAGCTGGTAAAAGAAAAGGGAACATATTTTTGAATGACCGGCCATAAAAAAATAATTAAAGATTATATCAACAATTAAACTTTGAAAAGTTTGTTATGAGAACTCACCTCTAATAGCTGTTCATCTGTTGTGGAGAAGTTCAAGTTTTTAACAAAAATAGTGGCCTCCTCTTCAGGAACTTCCTCATCATTAGCTTTCTGGAAGAAATTAGTTGGACGATATTAGTTTGATGGTAAATATTTATTTGTTAACGTCAAAATAGTTATAAAACTGGTAACATAAATATTAATAAAAATAACACACAAAAACAGGAATTAAATTTAAATTAAAAATGATTAATTATCATGTTGACGAATTCAATGCAGGGACTAGAAATATGAGTAAGGTTTGGTTTTATGTACATGTGATGAGCAATATTCCCTCTAAGGGGGAAAAGCTAGTGTGCAAAATTTATTTTTTGTGTGCGCTGTTCTAAAAGTCTTATACAAGGATATATTTATTTTACAAAATCACTGCGCAGCAGCTCAAAACTATTGTGCGGCAGCGCAGCTAAGAGGGAACATTGGTGATGAGATATGCTAGTTATAAAAATATGCATAGATGAAAAGATGAGGTAGAATCAGGAACATCCCACACTCACCTCACCCAGAGAACTAAAACTGTGATTTACCTCTTCTGTTTTCTCCTCCTGACTAGACGTGGCTTTCTTTTCTTCCTCCCTGCCACCCTCCTCTGAGTTGTCTTCTTTCTTCTCCTGACTGGGCGCTGCAGGTTTGACAAATACAGTCATGGGGGCCCACTCCAGGTAGAGGGGAATGGAGCGAAACTGAAATACAGAGAAATGGGGATGAGGTTTGCATCAAGATTGGTTGGGTAATGGAGACAACATAAGCATTATAGTTTCAAGCACTATGGACTATCCAGACATTAAATGTACAGAATAGCTTTAATTGACTGGCTAATGGAGACAACATAAGCACTATAGTTTCTAGCACTATGGACTACCATGACATTAAATGTACAGAATACCGCTGGTTAATGGAGACAACATAAGCACTATAGTATCTAGCACTATAGACTACCATGACATTAAATGTACAGAATAGCTTTAATTAACTGGCTAATGGAGACAACCTAAAAGCTATAAACTAGCCTGACATTAAATGTACAGATTAGCTTTAATTAATTGGCTAATGGAGACAACATAAGCACTATAGTTTCTGGCACTATAGACTAGCCTGACATTAAATATACAGTTTCTAGCTTACATGACTAGTGAAACACCAAATGAACACTTTTGAAGAGCAGATTTAAAATTTACCAACAAAGTGACTTGTACAAAAGCTTGTGTTACATGTCATTTTCATATTCTCAACAGCTATTGTCAGACATAGCTACACAGAGTTTAGGCAGCTATTGTCTACCATAGCTACACAGACTTACAACAGCTATTGTCTGCCATAGCTACACAGACTTACAACAGCTATTGTCTACTATAGCTACACAGACTTACAACAGCTATTGTCTGCCATAGCTACACAGAGTTTAGGCAGCTATTGTCTACCATAGCTACACAGACTTACAACAGCTATTGTCTGCCATAGCTACACAGACTTACAACAGCTATTGTCTACCATAGCTACACAGACTTACAACAGCTATTGTCTGCCATAGCTACACAGACTTACAACAGCTATTGTCTGCCATAGCTAAAAAGACTTACAACAGCTAAGAAGTACAGTTCTCACCTTGGAGAAGTTGAGCTTCATGAACAAATGTCTGCCATAGCTACACAGACTTACAACAGCTAAGAAGTACAGTTCTCACCTTGGAGAAGTTGAGCTTCATGAACAAATGTCTGCCATAGCTACACAGACTTACAACAGCTATTGTCTGCCATAGCTACACAGACAACAACAGCTGAGCTGTTATTGTCTGCAGTAGCTAACATGCTTTAAACAGCTATGAGTACAGTTCTCACCTTGGAGAAGTTGAGCTTCATGAAACCTTGTCTGGCCTCTGATGGCTCCAGGTACTCAACAATGGCCGTGATGCCGGTGGGGGGCAGGACGACGCGGTTCACTGACCCGTACTTGTTGAATATGTCTCTCAGTTCATCCGTGGTCACCCCCAGGGGCAAGTTTTTCACCAGGATGACCGTCTTGCTTCTGGCCCCTGCGGCCTGGTATAGAGAGACAAAAGTTCAATGGTTATGGACAGGTGGTGGTGGGTTGATAAAGCAGGTTGTGGAGTTTGTTGTATTGGGGGAGAGTCAGTATCAGGAAGTTGTTGATGGTAAAAGCTGTCTTAGTTACTTGACTTGACGGAAACTATTGGAGCTATTGACATGAATAAAGTTGTCTTTAAAGCTACTGACCTGACTGTCTAGAGCTACTGACCTGGCTGTCTAGAGCTACTGACCTGACTAAAGCTATCTAAAGCTACTGACCTGACTAAAGCTGTCTAGAGCTACTGACCTGACTAAAGCTGTCTAGAGCTACTGACCTGACTAAAGCTGTCTAGAGCTACTGACCTGACTGTCTAGAGCTACTGACCTGACTGTCTAGAGCCACTGACCTGACTGTCTAGAGCTACTGACCTGACTGTCTAGAGCTACTGACCTGACTGTCTAGAGCTACTGACCTGACTGTCTAGAGCCACTGACCTGACTGTCTAGAGCTACTGACCTGACTGTCTAGAGCTACTGACCTGACTGTCTAGAGCTACTGACCTGACTGTCTAGAGCTACTGACCTGACTGTCTAGAGCTACTGACCTGACTGTCTAGAGCTACTGACCTGACTGTCTAGAGCTACTGACCTGACTGTCTAGAGCTACTGACCTGACTGTCTAGAAGCACTGACCTGACTGTCTAGAGCTACTGACCTGACTGTCTAGAGCTACTGACCTGACTGTCTAGAGCTACTGACCTGACTGTCTAGAGCTACTGACCTGACTGTCTAGAGCTACTGACCTGACTGTCTAGAGCCACTGACCTGACTGTCGAGAGCTACTGACCTGACTGTCTAGAGCTACTGACCTGACTGTCTAGAGCTACTGACCTGACTGTCTAGAGCTACTGACCTGACTGTCTAGAGCTACTGACCTGACTGTCTAGAGCTACTGACCTGACTGTCTAGAGCTACTGACCTGACTGTCTAGAGCTACTGACCTGACTGTCTAGAGCTACTGACCTGACTGTCTAGAGCTACTGACCTGACTGTCTAGAGCTACTGACCTGACTGTCTAGAGCCTCTGACCTGTCTAGAGCTACTGACCTGACTGTCTAGAGCCACTGACCTGACTGTCTAGAGCTACTGACCTGACTGTCTAGAGCTACTGACCTGACTGTCTAGAGCTACTGACCTGACTGTCTAGAGCTACTGACCTGACTGTCTAGAGCTACTGACCTGACTGTCTAGAGCTACTGACCTGACTGTCTAGAGCTACTGACCTGACTGTCTAGAGCTACTGACCTGACTGTCTAGAGCTACTGACCTGACTGTCTAGAGCTACTGACCTGACTGTCTAGAGCTACTGACCTGACTGTCTAGAGCTACTGACCTGACTGTCTAGAGCTAGACCTGACTAAAGCTGTCTAGAGCTACTGACCTGACTGTCTAGAGCCACTGACCTGACTGTCTAGAGCTACTGACCTGACTGTCTAGAGCTACTAACCTGTTTAGAGCTACTGACCTGACTGTCTAGAGCTACTGACCTGACTGTCTAGAGCCACTGACCTGACTGTCTAGAGCTACTGACCTGACTGTCTAGAGCTACTGACCTGTCTAGAGCTACTGACCTGACTGTCTAGAGCCACTGACCTGACTGTCTAGAGCTACTGACCTGACTGTCTAGAGCTACTGACCTGACTGTCTAGAGCTACTGACCTGACTGTCTAGAGCTACTGACCTGACTAAAGCTGTCTAAAGCTACTGACCTGACTGTCTAGAGCTACTGACCTGACTGTCTAGAGCTACTGACCTGACTAAAGCTGTCTAGAGCCACTGACCTGACTGTCTAGAGCTACTGACCTGACTGTCTAGAGCTACTGACCTGACTGTCTAGAGCTACTGACCTGACTAAAGCTGTCTAGAGCTACTGACCTGACTGTCTAGAGCTACTGACCTGACTAAAGCTGTCTAGAGCTACTGACCTGACTGTCTAGAGCTACTGACCTGACTAAAGCTGTCTAGAGCTACTGACCTGACTGTCTAGAGCTACTGACCTGACTAAAGCTGTCTAGAGCTACTGACCTGACTGTCTAGAGCTACTGACCTGACTAAAGCTGTCTAGAGCTACTGACCTGACTGTCTAGAGCTACTGACCTGACTGTCTAGAGCTACTGACCTGACTAAAGCTGTCTAGAGCTACTGACCTGACTAAAGCTGTCTAGAGCCACTCCGTTAGAAATGAGAAATTCCCTGGTCTCGTTGATGATTTGTGTCTCACCCAAAGCCAGCCTGACTCCAACACTGCCTCTGGTGTCCTACAGGACATAAATATCATAATTATAAAAATGGTGTCATACAGGACATAAATATCATAATTATAAAAATGGTGTCATACAGGACATAAATATCATAATTATAAAAGTGGCATAAGACAGGCAAAGAATTAACCACAACAGTGTGGCATCTTGAAGAAAGACAAAATTACTTTCAAAGCGAGGTTCCACTATATAAATAAAACAGAGACTTACGTCATCTAGAATATTACTTTTGTCTGTGTGATACTTCTGTGCCATGGCATCAGCCACTGCGTTGGCGCCCAGGAACAGGGCGTTCCAGTTGTGTGAGCTGGAGAAATACATTGGTGAGGTCAGGGTGAGGAATATATTGGTGAGGTGAGGAATATATTGGTGAGGTGATGGATACATTGGTGAGGTGATGGATACATTGGTGAGGTGATGGATACATTGGTGAGGTGATGGATACATTGGTGAGGTGATGGATACATTGGTGAGGTGATGGATACAATGGTGAGGTGATGGATACATTGGTGAGGTGATGGATACATTGGTGAGGTGATGGATACATTGGTGAGGTGATGAATACATTGGTGAGGTGATGGATACATTGGTGAGGTGATGGATACATTGGTGAGGTGATGGATACATTGGTGAGGTGAGAACTACATTGGTGAGGTGATGGATACATTGGTGAGGTGAGAAATACATTGGCGAGGTAAGGAATATATTGGCGAGGTGAGGAATATATTGGCGAGGTGA